GAGCGGGGCGGGGCGGAGCGGGGCGGGGCGGAGCGGGGCGGGGCGGACCGCGGGGGGCCGCGGGCAGCGGGGGGCTGCAGGCTCCGCGCGGCGCTTTGTGCGTGCTGCCGGCCCCGGCAACGACGGGTGTAGCCGTGTGCTGTCCCGGACAAGCAGCTCCTGAGCGCAGCTGGCGGGGTCGGCGCCCGGGCCCGAGCTGGCTTGCGCCGAAACAGGGCTGAGCTCAGCCCGGCTGCACGCCAGTCAGCCTGGGAAGCCAGCCCCGAGAGTCCACGTCCGTCGTTTGAGAGGCTGAAATCCTAAAAAGGAGGGCTCGGTAGTCCCGAGGGATGTGCGGCACGAGAGCCAACGTTCTTCCAAGAGGCGTCTGGATGAGGCGGACAGCAGCTTTGGCGGGGCCACCTGTTGCCATTCCTCGAATCACAGAATGGCCAGGGTTGGAAGGGACCTCAGGGGTCATGAATCTCCAACCCCCTGCCACAGGCAGGGCCACCAACCTCCACATTTAATACCAGACCAGACTGCCCAGAGCCCCATCCAGTCTGGCCTTGAACATCTCCAGGGATGGACGGGGCATCCACAGCCTCTCTGGGCAGCTGTTCCAGCTCTCTCTGTAAAGAACTTCCCCCTGACATCCAACCTCAATCTCCCCTCCCTCAACTTCAAACTATTTCCCCTTGTCCTGCTGTTATCTGCCCTTTGAAAGAGTTGATTCCCCTACTATTTGTAGGCTCCCTTTAGGTACTGCAGGCTGCAATGAGGTCACCCAGCAGCCTTTTTTTCTACAGCCTGAACAAGCCCAGCTCCCTCAGCCTGTCTTCCTAAGGGAGGTGCTCCAGTCCCCTGATCATCTTAATGCCCTCCTCTGCACCCTCTCCAACAGCTCCCTGTCTTTCTTGTACTGGGGGCTTCAGACCTGGATGCAGTACTGCAGATGGGGCCTCACAAGAGCAGAGTAGAGGGGGACAATCACCTCCCTCTCCCTGCTGGCCACCCTTCTTTTGATGGAGCAAGTGGGGTGGCCAGCAGGGACAGGGAAGTGGTTGTCCCCCACTGACCCCTATTAACACACCAGCTGTCCCCACACAGACAAGAAGGAAACCAAGGAAGGGAGCACTGTGGCACCAAACCAGCACCTGTTGGGGCTGCCAAGCGGCCCTTTCCTCTCACCTAAGCATGGTCAATAAAGGGCAGTGATCTCGTGTCTTGACCAGTACTGTTTGTTACTTGACATGAACACGTCACGAAAACAGCCCAGCCACACTAAGCGTGGAACTGCTATTAAGGTGTCATTACTGGCAGTGTAAAACTATTGCTGTGTTTGCTTTCATAAGCAGTGTCTACCTTTCACTGATACCTATCACCCAACGTAAATAATACTGGCATTAGGAAATCTGATTGGATTGATTTTCATTCACTGACGTAGATTTACATTTGATCAGAAGAAATGTCTTGTAATGTTTATTTTTATTTCCGTATTTGTGAAAATTATGGACATCAGTATGAAGAATGTTTTTTTTTTCCTTACGTGTCTGAGGAGACAAAATCTTACACATTTAGACACAGATGACCCTCCTACTGGCCATGTCTTCAAACAGTATTCTTTTAAACCTCTTGAAATTTAGTTCATCAAAGATAACTCTTTGTGCTAATCCTACTCATACATGTCAGCAAAATATTGTTGCACCTAATACTGATCATTCTGGGAAGACCACAGGACTTAAATAGAGCTCCACATCCCAGCCATATTTTGCTAGTGGTTGCTAACTAGTAGTTCTTAATTCACTTTTTAACTAACAGACTGAAAATATAATGCCCTTTGCCCTGAAAAACAAAAATAAATAAATAGCAGTTTTAAATATTCCTCATATTCATCATCAGAGAGTATCATTTCTTCAAATTAGCCAAGCCTGCAGCTACATGAAAGTGCCAGCTTTTCTGGAGCTCACCTTACCAACCCAGAGCGCTAAGATTTCCTTTTTTTGTGGGGCATATGTATATGCTGAGTGCCACAGGAATGCAAGGAATGCTCTCCTGGGCTCTTCTCCTTCATCACTTCAGGGCACTGAATATCTCCTGTTACAGACGAGCTTGCCTGACGTGTTCCTATCTCTAAATCAAAACATAGCTACCCACTCCATTTTAATATGCAATTAGTTTTAATTCCAGACCTATTACCTCTAACAGCATAAAGTGAAGTGTTTCACTGCAATTAATTTCTGTTGTGCTATCTGCTAGTAGAGTACCTGTGATTCACAATGATACTCAGCCTCAGCTGACGCGATTTTGGGTGCTCTGATTCTGCTCTGATTAGTGTAACAAACCTTGATGGCTATCAGTGTACGTCAGAGGCCCATCACATGCCACGGACTTGTTAGACATGACAAGGAATGAAAGCTAGAAAGTTACGTTCAGATACATTCAACACTTTTTCAGAAGCATTTAAGAACATGTTGTACCTGCTTACTCTTTCTTTAGCCTTCTGTAAGCAACACAGTATTATGTAAATGCTTCTCATTTTTTATGTTCTCTATGGTGGATACGAGTCTGCCCTGCATGATGTTTGGTTTTTTGCCAATATTGTAGTAGTTCTTGCATATGAATAGGAAAAAATATCAAATAATCATTTAGGCTAAGCCCTGCTTGTCATGCAAACATTGGTGAGGTACAATTTACAATGCCACATATGTTTTTGCAGCCTTCACGTTCATTCTTTCCCGTTTTCTGTCTTAAACAGTAGATCAGTGTTTTGCAGTACACACGTGTATCAGGATTGCCATTCCTTTTGCATTTCTTTTTTAGTTAAATATACATATAGCATATGTATGTAAATATATAAATGTATACACACCATATAATTTCAGTAAGATATGCACCATCAGTGAGGATACAAACCCATGGATATCCTTTCATCTTCTTCCTCTGGGTAAGTTGTCTTATTTTCTTAAATTTTCTTTTATCATCTGAAGATTGCGTGGCAGCTATAGCAAATTCACACAGATGAGTTCCAGTATGCAGAACTTCCCGTTTGCTTCCCAGCTCTCACCTGGCAGCTTCTCAGCAGTCCTAAGAAGTTCCTTTCATAACCATTTGTGTAGGTGGAATGCAAAGGTGTCCATCTGATGGACCACTCCATGTCTGACATAGAGAACGAGAGCTGTTCCTATTGGACTGAGTAGAATCCAATTTTATTGGATTTTAAGTCAAGGATGGCTGATCTCTACTACCAGGGGAAGACCAGGCTCCTTTGAACAGGTTTATCTTCTGTGCTTGGATTTTTGGGATGACAACATTTCCTAGAATGCTGTTCCTGTTCTTTCGAGGTTTATACATAGATGGGATTACTACCATTGCCAACTCCATTTTGTATCATCTTTCACAACATGAAAAGAATGGCTGATGTTGTTTTTGTTTTGTTTTGTTTTTTTACAGCATCCCATAGCTATATGTCTCATTGCCATCCAGATATCACTATGCACGAGCACAGTATACAGCCACTACCCTGTATGCCTGTAGTGTAGGACAGAAAGATATCAGGGAGTTAACACAGTCCATGCTAAAGTAATTTTTGAACATTTACCATTGCTTTATTGTCCTTTTGCACTTGTAAGGCAGCATAAAATCCAAAATGCTGTAAAAGACAGCCTGGTCTGCGGCTCTAAACAAAATCTATCCCTCTTGAGACTAACAAGGAGAGTTTGCGACTACTATGATGTATTTCATATATTTTTTCAGAGTTTGCCAGTTTGTTTGTTACATTTGGGAATATTTATCATTCAACTTTTCTGTAGCTGCATCCATCTAAAGCAGCTTTAACTAGTGAGCTTAATCCTAGCAGAGGTAGCTCAGGGACCTGCACAAATTAGCTGTCCAAATACTTACAGTGTCTCCTGAGAGGAATTCACAGTCCACACAGCATTCAGATTCACAGGTAAAGGAACCTGTACAAAGGGAAAGGTGGCTGAAATCTGTCTTGCAGGAACACCTTGGGAGCACAGCGATGGATCACGGACCATTATGCCAGATACTGAATGAACACCAGATATATTAGCATGAACTCTCAGAGGTCAAGCCTGAATTTCTGAAGTAAGCTCAGATAGGCTCATGCAAGCTTCATGCACCCTTGTGATCACGTTGCAGGTGTGTCCATCATCTCTCAGTCATGGAAGTGCTGTTAGGACATGCTTATGAGTCTTCTGTCCCGCTTCCTCCACTTGAAGAGTGGTCTTCAGGATTTCCCTTCACCTTCTCATCCTGTAAAAAGAGAAACAGTTGTAGCAATTCCACTTGTGTAAGATATTTTGACAATTAAATAGCATCTTTTGTCATTATCAGGTTGTTTCATATTAATGCTATTAATAATAGTCATAAATCGGTTCTTCCTTGCTGGTAGGCTTGAGAACAGTTTGCCCGTGAGAAGAGAGAGGTGCAAATCTTGATTTTTTGAATTGCACCCGCTGCATGCTAAGAAAAGTAACAGACTAAAACCACGTCTCTTTGGGATAGATGACATATACTGATTGATGCAGGTTAAAACTGCAGTCAATTAGTCATCCACAATCTGCTGCAGGCAGGATTACAACCATAGAGTCATAGTAGCCTTAGAGTTCAAAGGGACACCTGAGGGCATCTAGTCCAACAGCCCTGCAATGAACAGGGGCACCACAGCTAGAACAGGATGCCCAGGGCCTGATGCAGCCTGGCTTTGAGAGTCTCCATGGATGGGGCACCAACCACATCACCGAGCAACCTGTTCCAGTGCCTCACCTCCCTCGCTGTAAAAGATTAGGAATGATTTCATCTGGTGAAATCTGTTATACCACAGTTCTGCGAATTATACATTCAACATCATCTGCTTTGCGAATATTATAATTAAGTAGCATCCAAAATAAGGACAAAATACTTCGTTCTTACTCACGTGTTCATCACTGGACAAATTCAAGTTCAAACTTACATTTCAGTCTTCTGTTTTTAAACCAATATATTTCCTGGAAGAAAATGCATACATAAATCTTTCTTAAATAACAGTAATTGAGTTGTTTAAGATAATCTTTTCAAGCTCCTAAAACGTAAACATTACATGATTGTGCTGAAGTATGAAAAGGGGAAACTGTCTGGAAGCCAATCTAGACAGGATTACTATTTATTCAAAGCTGGCCAAGTCTTTGGAAGAATTTAGCTCAAGTATGAACAATAGATAGCCAGATACTCATTAATATCCAACGATACTGCTTTTCATAAAACACAGAAAGTTGACAAAATTAAATCTGTTGCACTAATGGATCATGCATGATGATTAATAAAACATCTAAATCTCTGCAAGGAAAATGAAACACAAAAGAAGAAGGAATTTTATTCCCGCACAAAGATGTGAATTATTTATCAGTGAAAAATTTGTTGTTAACTCTGTTCTTAAGGCCTTTCACTGCAAATGTGGGTTTTTTTCAGTATTAGGGTTCTACACTGATTGTTTAATTTTCACTATCATAAATCTTTTTTAAGATAATCAGTTTGATTAAGTATGATTGACGTGCTTGACTTTTGGTCTATACAAACTCTTTATACATATGTATATTCATAATTTTTGGCATTACTGCAGGCTATTAATTTTTTTTAAATTAAGTTTACGGCTGGTAGCATTTTTCTGTTGTGAATTATTGAGTAATTATTCCAGATATTGCCTTTCCTCAGACAGCCACCAAGCGCTGTTTACTGCACTGCTCAATGAGCTCGTGTTGGAACTGCTTCTTGGAACCAACCCCCAAATGCCGCATTCCCCTCATGTTTCACCTCTTTACTCTTGTCATCATGTTCTATAGGAATCAGACACACTCTCCCCTACTGCAGCACAGCACGCTGCATCAGGAACATTCCCCACTATGATACTAACAGCGCCCAATTATGGGTGCATTTAAGAGCACTTCCAATTCCACTGCTTTCTAATGACCTTTATAAATTATTCCATTGCTTCAAAATTAATAACTGTCGGATGAGTCGTGTGTTTGTGTGGTTCTGCCTGCTTCTTCCTTCAGTCATCCTTTAGATCTGTCCAAAGCATATGGAGATGTGTGGGTGTCAGCTTGAGTGTTTCTAAGCTGTGCATACATATCTTGGCAAAACATATTCACACCTATATCACAATGTGACAAGTACTAGGTACCAATTTAAGCGGGGAGAATCAACTTCAAGATCTGTCAAAGCTAAAAAAGTTAATATGTTTGTTACTTACAATCAGTGACATCACACTTCATCAATTTATACTCCTTTTTTGTTTTGCTTTGCTTCCAGAGGAAACCATTTAGTACTTGGAATAAAACAGAACTAAAATTTAATTTTTCCTTACTCCAAAAAACTTATTTGAGATAGATCAACACTGAGGTGAGCTATCAAAACAATCTAAACTTAACGTATTGCCTGGAATTGCCCTCATCAGCCCTGACAGTATAATGATGTATAATGACAATATACCTACCCTCATGCATGCGGAGTGCCGTGCTGCAACCATTAACTGAGAACATTCATATTCAATGATGGAAAAGGGTTCAAAGTGTTGTTATGATCAAGTTTGTTTTCTAAATAATATGTTTATCGGACGTCAGTGGTGAAAATTAAGACTTTCTACGAGTCTCTTTTGCAGAAAACTTGTGGAGATTCCTGTTTCCACTCCCAGCCTTCTCTGAACAAATACAGTGACAAATCTGAGTATTACATCCATCTGAAGAAGGAAATCCATGATTAACATGGAAACAAAGACATGAAGGAGCTGACAAAAATAAGCAGTACTGCAAAGGTAACTTGTTACTAACCATGGGGCAGAAGTTCGTACAATGAGCTACTTGTACTGCCAGGGTCTGTTTCTAAGGCAGACTTGAAATAAATAATTACTTTCCTTCTATTATTTTGTTTACATTTCACAATCTTTTCCATTTGTTAAGCAGATAATACTCTTCAAATGCTCAGCAGCAAGATGATTATACCGCTATTGCAAAAACATGCTAACCTGCCGCTCGCTTCACTTCTGATTTCCAGAACAAAAGTTATTAGAAAATAATAATAAAATAAATAAATAAATGCCTCTCACATTTTTGCTGCATGCAGGGGAAGCTGCCAACAGGAGATCTGCACCCAAGGAAATACATCTTGTAAATGTGTTTTGTAAGTCAGAATAGAAACTGATGTGTGGGAAGCAATCGTACAAAAGAAGTAGTAGAGATGAGGGTTACTTTTTTGTGGGGAGCCAAAAGGACGCTTTGGAAGATGTACATATTGAAAGACATATGAACTCTTAAAGATCTTGTCATGGGGAAGTTATTTTCTGGGACTTTTTTCCCTTTTTCACGCAACTTAAAATACTGCTGACTTTTTGGCATCTTACCAGCATGACAAAAACACTGTACATAGCCACAGTAAATACATCCTGGTGTATTTACCCATGTTGAATTTGTGTTTCTCTTCCTTCAGCTCCAGCTAGCTGGAATGGAGACAGCACAGTGTATTTAGTCCTTTGGACAAGAAAGTCTTAACATACCTCAGGAGTGTCCTCCTCTTAAAATCCTGCAGGGTGGAGGCTGGAATCCAGTGTGTTTTCAATCCCATCCATGTGAGGTAGGGCACAGGTGGACCCTTTCTCCAGGTCCTCAGCTAATGAAAACCCATGTATTTCAAGGAGATCAGCTGGTTCCTGCCTGTTTAAAACAGCTCAGGATCTGCTCCTTGGCTCTGGTTCATGTTGGGGTTGCTGGGAACTTCCATAATGTTGCAACAGAGGATGGCTATGCCCCCTTTCACCTCCAGCGAAAAATACTGAACTGTTTGAACCTCCCAGAAAGAGAGTTCTCTCTAAGTCATGCTCAGCAGTGCGGCTGAGAAGGGCTGCAGAACAAACAGAGAAACAATCTTGCCTTTGTTTGTCCAACGGCAATGTCTGTGTCTTGTTAGCAACGCAACAGCTCATGAAATGATAAGTCCCCAGGTTGAAGCTAGCTCTGCAACTTCATTCCATGGATGCAAGTAGCTTATAATTTTGCCTGAAGCCTTAGCATTACTCTTGCATTCAGGATAAAGCAGAATCTTCTTACCATGGAGGAAAAGAAATGAAGTACAAGAGAAAATTTCATCTTCAATTTATTTGCCTTGGTCCTTTGCGCTTCAGAAATAAATAGAATAGTCAGCCCTCCTGACTTTAAGTATTCACACAGATATTTTGTTGCATGCAAATAGACTTTCTTTGAACTACTTATCACTCTTAACCTCTGCTCCTCACTGACGCAATTTTAGTAAGGATCCCACTCCACACACGTGAACGTGAGCCAGACAGCAGGCTGATACTCCTGGGCAATGTAAATACAATAGGTTAAAACACACATCAGCACGTCTCCAAAATGCAAAGAGGGGCCCTTCAAGCAGTAGCATTACACATTTTTTTGATACCAGCAGAAACGATGCAGATACTCAGCTAATTTTAACTCGGAGGGCAACGCTGAAGCAAGGGAAAGTATTTCTCTGCTGTGGTTAGATCCTGAAAGACCGATGTAGGCAGGAGTCGAGCTGCATTTCATTTAGTGGGAGCTAATGCTGATGCTTCCAAAGACAGTCTTGTGGGAAATAATAAAGGGCAGTGGTCCACAGGTAAAGCGAACTCACACCGCAGTGCTTGTAACTCTTGGTTATGATGAGATTTAAAGAGGAATAGAACTGCTGGGTGCATCCAGAGTACTGCATAGCTTTAAGGCACCAATTTAAAACTCAAACGGTTTTGCAATGAGCATACGTGCATTTTGTCATCAAAACAACATAGGACAGAATAGGCCTGGTAGAGCATTTCTGTCCCCCAGATGTTTGAGCTTAAATCACAGTCTTCCAACTCTAGCAGGCATTTGTAACATTTAAGGGCAAATGAAAATGCTTAATTGGCCTAGATGTACTCACTTAAAAATTATTAAGCAGAGTAGGGTAGCCAACATTAAAGGCTTTGGATGTGGAATCCATAAAAAAGCGATAACTTGTAATTCATCACACAGCAATTCTCTAAGACTTTTTCTGCCCATCATTCCCATGAATTCATCTGAAACTGCATAATGTTTAGAAAACCAGAAAATAAGTTGCACTTCCTATTTCTCCAGAGTAATTTCTGGGGCCAGATACCCTCCCCAGAGCAGCAAGAGGAAGATAATACCTGAATGCAGAATTCTCTTAAAAAAGACCCTTTTGGGGTTAAAAAACCATGACTAGTTTACTCCGTTCCACTTCTCCACCCTGCTGTATGCAGCAGGTGAAGGTGAGCATCTCTGCCACTCAAGCTTGCTCATTAACTAGTTCTCAGCATCTTTCTGAGAAGATGCAGAGTCCTGTTGTGACTGGACATAATTATGTTTTTAAAAGAGGGAAACTGGAGCAACATTAAAATAAATGCTTGCTTTAACCTATCTATCTTTAACTCATCCTTCTTATGACTTCAAGTAGACAGGCTATTCTCAGTCTATTTGCCCAGAAAGCATGAAGGAGGTGCAGGTCTATAAAGCAGATCCTTTTTCTTACAGTCTCCTGCTTGTTTATTCAGAACAAGTGCCACTCCATCCCTTATTAAGAATTCCTTATTGGGATAAGGTAGCTACTGATTTCTAAACCTATGTCCTCCAGATACCTATGCATGCTCTGAGGCACACAGAGGGTGCAAAAACCCCTAATGCTGGTTATTAAACCCTCTTCCAGGGCTCACTGATCTAGTTTAGGAACCATATCTCACAATATGATCTCATCCCTAGCCAGATTTTTCCTGCTGGATGACACTTGAAGCATTTACTGGCTCGCCTGTGCAAGGTAAAGCATGCCAAAGTAGTCATGCCAGTAACAACTCAGACAGAATGCAAAATTTCAAAAATGCCTGCCATAGCTATAGATTATTCCAGCCCCCTCGCTTAGATGAGATGCAACATTACAAAAACTTTCGATAGAGCTGAGTTCACACTGGGGCTGTTGCTGTTACTGTAGCTACTTGAATTTTAATCCTACAGTTCAAATGGAAAAAAAAAATTAATCCTGCCTTGTCCTTTCAACTGTGAAGACAAGCAATTTTTATCCCTCTTCATAATATCATTTCCCTCTGTTTAGAAGTACGATGTGAAGAAGCTCCTGATCTTCCATCAGACTTGGGTCTCTTTGACGATGCCCTTTGGCTCCTGCTCTTCTGTGTTAATTGAAGCTGAGTACAGTAGGAAACCTGGCCTCATAACTTTTAGAAATGCTATATATTTACCTAGTACTACTGTAACCTGAGACACATCTTAATTTTTGATGCCACTAATCACATCTTTCATATGGAGGGACATGCTCCCACGGTGAAACCATGTGATTTTCAGACAGAACATCAGAGAGGAACACCAGGGAAGTGTAAGGATTTTCTTCCTTTATAATGCTCACTGCACAACATATCTTTGAAAGAAACACTGACCTGCGTTCTTCCTTGTTATGAAGCTCATTACAAAATGCACACACCCACCTCACAGAACTGTTCTGAGGACTCGAGCTTGCAGAGCCCTTTTGAGGATGAAAAGCACATATATAAGTACTATACAAGTACTGAGCTCTAAGCTCGGGCATGTGGACAAGCTGTGCGCATTCAAAGTAAAAACCTTTCTAATGACATCCATCTGCATCTTGAATACAAGTGAAAAATTGTAAGACAGCCAGTGATCAAGGCCTTCTCATGCAGCTCACCCTACTGTTTGGCCGCTGGCCAGCCCAGAGAGCCCACGGAGGAAAATGGCTCTGGAGGAAGGAATGCGCACGTTGAACAGAGGACAGCTTTTCTGAAGGGTGAGAAAAATGAGGCTAACACCCCCAGCTGCCAAAGCCTTCTCTGGTACATGGAGGAATGAAGCAAGATAGAAGGGGAGGCAGAAACTGCAGCAGGCAGCAGCCTGCTACTCTCATCGAAGCCTGTATGCCCTAAAAGCTGAAATAGAAAACATTTTTGCATCAGGATCGGGTCTGCTTTGCATTGAGGATGTCTCTGTGGAGAGGCTGGGAGAAACCAGGCAGGAATTTCCTGGGAGCTGCAGCACCTAAGCCAACCAGGGAGGCATACCAGCCTTCGGTGTTAGTACTGCCACGATTGAACGAATAACTTGAAAATGGCTATCATATATTTAGATAATTCAATCTAGAAAGCTTTCTAATCTTTCATTAAAATTTTACACACAAGAGATTTCCCCTCTAATAAATCATAATTTACATTTAGATAGTACCTCTCATTCTAATAGCTTGTCTTTATTGAGAAGCCGATTCCAGTCATGAATCGCACGTTATCTTTCATTCAAATGCCTGCCGTAGCCAAAAAGCCCTGAATTAAATATTTAAGCAGCTTTTAATTCACATTATCTTGTACCAGATCAATTCAGCACAACCCATCAACTAACACAATCAATAATTAATGTGCTTGCAGTCTGTCTGCACCAGGCTTCTGTCAGTCCTCCTGCCTCCTCCTACAGCTTGCTGGGAGAGCCCATGGAGAGCAGCCAGCTTGGCCACGGCTCACCAGAGCATGCTTCATAGAAGAGCAGAGCCCACTAGGACAATGACTTCCCTGAGATCTCCAGGGTCTTTCTTTAAACAAAGCTCCGCCTTCTCCTAATAACTAATTAACATATTCGTTGTCTGTATTGCCCTCAGGCCTGTCTCCACCTCAGCAGCACATCCTCCAAGGAGGCTGAGTGGCCCAAGGCAGTCCTGACACTTCCAATGCTGCTGCTCCAAAACTGAGTGCCCTTGTGCAGTCTTTATAATGGAATTTGCATTCTTTTCACTTCTAGAAATTTTGAAATCACATGGTATAGTCCACCAAACATGAAGTACTCGAGTTTTCCTGTATTCCATCTTTCCATCACTTACCAGTTTTTATATGCAAAATATGTCAGTTAGAAGAGAGGATTTTAGTCTCCTAAATACAAACATCATTGACTGCAAGAGAAGTTCATCGTTAAGGCGCGTAAGAAAAATAAAAGCTCTCTTTTTCTGTAAGCAATACCAGCACACCTACCAACGTGCAGCATCTCATGAGGAGGTCCAACACCTCTTCATCCAGTGACATTGTAAACAGCTAAAAGAATCCACAGAGGTTTTTAAGAAAAGAGCAGAGGTCACACTGAGGGATATGGTTTATTGCTAGGGTGGTGATAGGTTGATGGTTAGACTAGATGATCTTGGTGGTCTTTTCAACTATAATGATTCTAATCCTGTAAAGCTGGATGCAGGATGAAATCACAGTCCTGGGACCCATCAGCACAGATGCTGGCAGGAGGCTGCACACAGCAAAGCCGTGGACTCATTGGGTGGAGGTTTTGTTGTGCTCCCACCCTTGCATGACAGAACATGAAGCCATCCAGCTGCAGGGCAGATGCAGGGAGGAGAAAGAGGTGTGAGGAAAGGGAGCAGGCTGCAAAAATGAGAGAGCAGCCAAACCAGACTGGGAGGAGCAGCTGGAGGATCAGGAGGAGGAGCCAGGAGCAAAATGTGGTTGGGCAAGTAAACCCGTGGTGATTCAGAGATCAGAGTCCACCAGCTTACGCAGAACATCAGAATTCACCATAATCATGCACAGACAAGCGTCCCCAGCCACGATCCCTGATACTCTCCATTGCCCTGTAGGGAAGGCTGGCACACAAATCAGAGCTGTCATGTACATAGGTTGCTCTGAAAGTGACGTCTCCTATTTACATTGTCACGGAAATGACAACAGCTATGAAAAGTACAAGAACAGTATTTGAGAGAGCAAATTCTCAGCTACAAAACACTATTTTTCAACACAGTAACCACCATTGGTCGTGCATCTTTTTCATCGATGAACAGGAGGCTGCATGCTGTGCTCATAAAAATAGGCACCGATGGAGGTGACTCACAGTCACTGTCGCCAATTCTGGGGTGCACCACTCACCCCTCACCGTGCTCACAGCCACTGCTTGGTCTCCAGAAATGTTCAGCAAGCATCAGCGAATGCCAATGGGTGCCATTTTTTCTACATGGAGGATTTCAATGATACACCTTTGCTCCATAAGCAATTCCATGTCAGACGCCATTTTGCCAGACTGCTCCTCTGCTGCCATCTGTCACACAGCAACAAAACAGAGCAGGATATGGGTGGGAAGGTTCAACCTGTACTGCTATAACACCAACATCTGCCTCTGACATCTCAGGCCAACATAATAAAGCAAGTGGTGTTACTTTCAAAGCAGCCCTCGTATGTTCCACTAGAATATTTAAGAACTTTTTGTTATCCTTGATTATTCATTAATTAGAAGTTTTATCAGCTCAGACATGGTTGGAAACATACTGGAAATCTCTGCTGAGTAGTTTAGATATTACACGCATTGCTGTGGCACTGAAGGTTTGTTTTACTCTGCAGGAGTCCTTTGGGATCACACATACAGGAATGGCTAGTGCCCTAAGGTGCTGACAAATGAAAGAAAAAGAGGGGACAGCAGATGGAATCAGCAGCTGGAGTATCTGCAGAAAATAAGGCAGCTCTGACAGGCGCGCCAGCAAGGCTTTTGTCTGGGAGTCTCATTCTGTATCTTCTGCCATCACAAAAAATAAAAATTAAAAAAGAATACCGAGTGAATCAGAGAATTTTCTCTAGTGCTGAAAGACCAGTAATGCCCTCATGAGACCACTTCCATCGAGTGGAACGTCCTGAAGATTCACAAGCTGTGTTACCATCATTTCACAGACAATTCCTAGAAATCCCTAAAAACTGGGATCTTTACAACACTTGTTTCTTAATGATACACCATTATACTTGTCAACAAGCAGTTTACAGCAGATTTACTGCACCCAAAAAGACAGAGGCAGCCTCTCTTGAGGTCAACTATCCAAGCACACACATGCAGGAATCATCTCCAGTGGTCCCTATAGAACCCAGTGGACAATACATCACAATGTGCCCATGCACAAAGGCTGCTGGCACGGTGATCAGTGCAGCAGCCATGGTGCAGCAGAGCTGTGGTGCTGCCCAGGCACGGACAGCCTGCAGCAAGGCCCCACTCCCTCGCAGAGCCAGCAGGAGCCAAGCACTGACAGAGGGCAGGGTGGTGTTCTCAGGTAGGCAGCAATGCTGGGGGTCTTGGGGCATGCAGCTCCAGCAAGGATAGGGCAATGCTGGTATAAGTGAGAATAAGGTAGATGAAATAAGGGCAAGAGAGATGAAAGTGCCAAAAAAAGAACATCTGTTACCTGGCACCGCAGTTTTTATTTCATCTCATGGATTGCCATATGCCTAGAGACTCGCAGAGGGAAAACCCCCTCCTTTTGCTGCTTACATTTCCCATACCAAGTAAGTATGGAAATATTTTTCAACCATATCTTGCATAAGACATGCACGCATGCACAGTCGGAGACAGTGGTGTGAACTGGAGACTTTTTCCATTTGGAGCTTTTGTGCTCCCCTCAGCAGTTCTCTTCCATCACTTAAGAAGTGTGCCCTGCACCTGCATGTTGATGAAAAACACACAGCATTGGAGGAGGGAGCATGGATCACTTGTGGGGGGCTGAATGAGAACCTCCTGCTGACAGCAAGCCAGGATTCCCCACTGGTCCTGGTTAGTGGCACTTACAAGTTGTCTTCCTGCTACAGCCCCATTTGAATTTCAAATGCACCAGTACAAAAGAGCAGGCTCAAGAATCAAAAGGGTTGGACTAAAAAAAAAAGTACCTTTAGGAACTGAATCTGAATTTATCTTGGAGTCTGCATTTCAATTAAAGCAGTTGTCTGCATATCAATCCACATTAACAATGTTTTTTGAGTAATACAAATTTAGAGACCAATGAATTTCATTGCATTTGTATCTGGCAATAACTGTAACTGTACGAATGACTTCAATATTCTCCTTCTTCCTTAAGTGCTGAAATACCACAAAGAATGACAAAGATGACATACACTGCATTAAAACACAGTACCTACGTTTCAACTTCACTAAAGATACAAGTCTATACTTTAGTTACACACTGCAGTAGCTTCTGCTATTGAGTTATAAGTCACAGGAATATACATGCTGCAGTTTGGGGTCAGATTCAGAACATATATAATCTAATATCCTTTCCAAAATTGCTATGAAATCTCACTCACAATTTTTGCTTCACAGCCTCTTTGCAGCGAAAGCTGACTCGATTTAGCTACGGACCATGAAAAAGATTTCCCTTTGATGTTTTAAGTCTATTCCTAGCAATTCAATTCTAGTTTTTGCTCTATGAAATATTGTGATTGTTCCTTGTTCACCTTTTTCTGAACAAATGCTATTTAATAGCCCTGCTGGTCATTTCTGAGAGTAGGAGAGAATAAAACGTATTCAAGCTTCCTGAAAAAGCAGAGTCAAAACCACTTGCCCTGATTCCAGCTTACCATTGATTTTCAGCTGGTAAGGGTAATGCACTGGCACAGGTGGCTACATACACCCACATCAACCACTCTCAGAACATTTTCTCATTTTCACAGATCCTTACATGAAAAAACAGAGCAGCACTTCATACTCAGGTATTCTATCAAAGAGATATTCTATTTTTTTAAAATCTAATATAGTGAAGTTAATGGTAAAATTGTTGTTACTCCCAGCGGATAGGGAGCATTCACTCTTAGGAGTGTTGTTTCTCAGGAAAAAATGCTTTCCCCAGAAAACTCATCATGGAAAGTGCTTTGGACTCTTCTTGCTGACTGCCCTTAATTGAACAACACTGCAGCAGCATCGTGTGACAGCAGCATCACTCCTGGGGTGGATCTCTGCCAAGCAATCCTGAGACAGGACTAACAGCCAAGGTTATTTTTAAAGCACCAGAAGTAACTTAATCGTACCAACATAATCGCCAACCAAGAATGCACAGCTTGCTATTAGTGACACTGATATCTTGTAAAATGAAAAGTAAGCTGCACCTGATTATTTCTGATGCTCTCTTGCTTGTAATGGAACAAGCACGTTATTGCAAATTCACAAGTTCACAGATTGGTTCAAAATTAACATATTACAAGTCCTATAATGTGTGTGAGTAAGTCCTCTAAGAAGCAAGCAGTCTCCTGTCTCTAATATTCCAGATAGGACTATGATTACTGTTTTACTGCCAGTGGTTTAAAGATCAAATTATTAACTTTTAAGAAATTACCTTAACTCCTTACAGATAAAAGTCGAATTTATTTCTGCAATAGCGTCCATGAATTTCTTTCTTCTGATTTCAACAAGATACATTACTGTTTTGTCATGGTCTAGTCTTTACAGAAGTAATACTCTCGCACAGCTCCATACATACATCCTAGAATTTCTATTGGTTCAAGTCTTGTCTCCGGACCCATCCAGCAAGCCAAAGGTCAGAGGGGGATTGTCATTGTCATATATTCCCAGAAACAGTCTTCTCAAGGAAGCAAAGATGATAAATCAGACAAACAAATCAGATAAACCTGATTTAACAGGACTTTGCACGGTACAGAATCCTGAAAAAACTGCTTGAATGAGGAGACTGAAAAGTAAACTTAGCTTTTACTTCTGCTGTCTTCCAGCCAGCAGCTCTGAATCAATTTAGTAGCAAAAGCTAATAAAACCATATATAATGCTACTTGAGGTATGCTCTGCTGATATATTTACCTTTAGAAGACATCTAATAGTGCTATTAAGGTGATACTTCTTGTGTTTAAGCGCTTCATTGTTTCTGTCTCCTTAACATATACACAAAGAAGGAAAGCACTAAAGAAGCACGACAGTGCAAGGGCCTGATGCTGCACGCTCTGCACAGAGTGAGAGCAATTCATGGTCGGATGGAAAGACTTAGGCTGCCCTTCCAACCTCTTTACTCTGCTGAATCTAGTGCCATGCTCACAGGCAGTTCCACTGGGGAGCATCTGCACCTGCAGAACAGCTCTGGGCTCTGACCTCCTGGGAGCCATGCTGCCCTCAGCCCTGCTGACCTCCTGCCCTCAGCTCACATCTCGCGCTGTTTGTTTTGGCACAACTGCTTCCCTCCCCCGAGGCCGCATGGAAAATGAGATCAAGGAACTGATGCAAGTTAAAAATAAACAGGGATAAAAACAAACATTTACTGTGCGGTTAAGAAACAGTTGTTGCAGAGCGATGGGCAGACAGGGGCAGGCAGGCAGAGCAGCTGAAGCTGTTGGAGAAATGAATGGCATGTGGCATCGGCCCAGCGCTGGCGGCTCACATTGGGTCCTGATCTCTGGACACTCCTCAGAGAGTGGGCACCAAACAGGTGCACACTGTGTTTGCCACTGGCTCTGCTTAACCAAGCCTGGAGGGGTTTTTTTTTGCTCTAGAAGGGGTCAGAAAAAAAGGCCCCAGAAAAATAATGAGGCAGGCACCCTGCTCCCTGTGCTGTCCCTAACAAGTGATTACCTCCAATTATTTATTGCTATTTGGTGCTTCTCAAGAGGAGATGCACTTAGCAGACAAGAGACGGAAAGCAGTTCATGATTCTGAGTCTCTGCCTCCACCTCCTTAAGAAAACAGTGGGAATAAAACAAAACTGAGAGGCATATTTGCGTTTGCAGCAATGTTTGAAATTACAGTCTGTAGCAGAACTTAAGCTTTCAATATTTATTATTTTCTCATTCACAAATTAATATCTAGCACTCCCCTTGAATTGGCTTATCCATTTCAAGACAGAACAGCGAGCTGAGCTGAGAATTGCTGGCCTTAGGGCTCTGCTTTCTGAGCTGCTAACTGCTCCTGCACACCAGAAGCACCTTCAGCTCCTGTGGAAATTAATAGGTTCTGCTATAGACACACATCCTGGGCCTGCTTTTGCTTTTTAGTAAGAATTCACGAAATGGCTGTTCCAAGATAACACCAGCTGCAGTTGTTTATACTGGAAAGCTATTGCAATGTTCCAGCAAAACTGGAACCAGGAACTCTTTGCTCCAGAAAAAGAAAATCCACACATGGAATTCATTTGAAAAACCTAACCAGAGCAATACTGAGCACAGCTTGTGATGCTGGGTATGTGTTTATACTGTACTGGTCACATTAGAGACATGCATCACAATGTTGTTGAGAAACATCACAATGATGTTTCTGACCCACTTTCCTAATTCTTGCCTCTCTGAAATCTTGCACAAAACATGTTAACTAGATCTGCCAGAAGTGGCAATCCTAACCACCAACTTCAGCTGGTCAAGGTATGGTCATCTGGAGGTTACAGCCTGGCCAGCAGCATGAAACGTGCTGTTGAGGGAGTGGGAGGACACCAATTCCTTAATGGATTTCATAAATTCAAGCAGCAGTTCCCCATTTAGCCACAGTTTGGTTCTACGTACTCTTACAAATGCCCTACTAGTGCGTGTGGTTGCTGGGAAATGAGACTGCTAAGAGTGACCTGATGATTTATTTACATCAAAATAATAAGATGTGATGTTATACAATTAATACTTCAGCAGTAGCCACGAAGCAAAAGGAAAACCAGCCTCAGAGTTATTAGAATGACTCTCATTCTTAGCACCCTCTCTCCCTCATTCATCGCTCCAGGAACATAACCACAGCCTTCTCCAAAACCTTGATCAAATAAATATGCCTTTCACTAGAGTCAGTGCATCTGGACCAAGCAAGGCAGCATACTGCAGAGACTTCCAGTCTCCACAGAGCGCAGGGTGCCAGCAGTGCCTCTCTTTATCTGATCAAGAATAGCCAGCCGAAATGCCTTTGTTAAGCCAAAACCGTAGAGAGGCAGTCCCTCAGGAGCCAAGCCAGGGTTTTTTTCCAGTGACAGATATATTCCATCTTTGTCCATATTACAGGAACGTTCTTAATTGATTTCTTTGTTTACTCTTTCCCTTATTCTGCAAGGAAGAATGAAAGCCTAAACTCTGCTTTCTGTATGACAAGTGTGAAGGCATTCTTTGCAGGGTATTAATCACACAGTGATTATGTGTACTGAGACCACTTAACTCTCTATAAATTACAATTCTATTTCCACAGATTATCCAAAGACTGCTTCCTCCGAAGTCTGGACAAACAATAACACAAGAAATTAGTGAATATTCTTCTCCAGAAAGTGGAATGCACAGTCAAATGAGAGCTCACACTATGGGTGCAAAAAGTAATAAACCCAGTGGAAAAATCAGGATATACATAATTGTAGGCTATATTTTTTCTAGCAGCAAAGTTGATTTATGAGTTCCCTTCTTGTTATCTTTGCACCTATGAAATTCACTGTCTCTGCAGTTGTGCCAATGAGACCAGGGGCTGTGTTATGAAATGGACCAGGGAGACAGACAGTGAAATTTCCCAGTTGCCTTTGGCTAATGGTGAAAAACATGACAAATTAGCACAGTCCCATCATGCAGAGGCTGTGGATCCACAGTGTGCATCAGTTGGCAACCCAGACGAGAAAACTCAGGTGATACCTCCCCTGCAGGCTGTGGGTGCTGATGGTACAACACTGGAAACATGGTGCTAAAGGATGTTCAGTCCATGGGCTATCCACGACTAAAATGGGTTTCTAAGCTGAATTAGCTGGAATCTGGTTTTAAAAGGTGCCCCTCCTTGGTAACGCAGTGCAGCCAAAACAAAATCATCAGCCTCTATTGGGAGACCAAGCTGACTTTTAATTGGGCTGGCGTGGTCTTTGCTCCAACTGTCTCTGCACATAGTGATCTATTTTCAGTTAATATGGATCCTGAGAAGACATATGGCTTGGAAATTAATCCCTTGCCTAGTAATAGGAGTCAAGTATTATCTGCACTTGAAAGTTCAACTGGATTAACATATAATTATAGAAGCTATTCTGGAATAAACACTTCACAAAAGGAGTTCCATTCCCATTTTGCTTCATTTCCACTAGCTGCTTGGGGAGGAAACTCCATGTGGAAACTCGCCCTTCGTTTTGCAACGCTATTTTTATTTTCTGCCCCTTACAATAGTTTGGAGAACGTTTTTATCCTCCCTCAGATTGGATAGTCATAGCTTTATTAGCTAAAGCAGCAGCATAAACATCAGTAGACCAGCAGGGAATTGATTTCTTTACCAGCAAATCGTCCAGCACCATCAGTGGCTGCTCCAGTAGGAGCCTGTGTCAGCACACATCGGGTGGTTTGCCCTTTTAACAAAAAAAATGTGGCTTGTGGCTTTCCCCAGAGGCCCAAACCACACTGTGCTCAATGATCTCTTTCTGTGACAGTTTCAGGGATAAGCTTCCAGTGTAAAGGGAACTCTAGTTGAAGAGCTGTCTTCTACTGTAGCCATTTCTAGATATTTCTAGGGTTGGTTTATTGTTGTTTTTTTTTTTCCCCCCCACAAATGTACAACAGGTTTTTGCTCCTCAGATGAAAGCCTGTGTGAGGTCTGTTTCCTGAATGATGTTTGGTGGGTAAATCCTAACAAAGTCCTCCCTATAGAGGCAGTGGGGGAAATGATAACAAGACTGTCCCTTCAGTCAGTAGTGATCTTCATAACTGAATCATACTAAATCTGCAGTACTTTTTGAAGCTATAATCAAAATGTGTTGTAATAACCATTAAGGTAGACACTGCTTTTATCTGCTGACAAGATATAACAGCCTTCAGCTTGGGCAGTAAAAATATCAGTAGTAATCCCAGGCTGTAAATTGATGCTACAGGGATTTTGGTGATTTATGAGTTTCCATGACACTCCTGTGCCCTGTCTGCACAGCTGAGAGACACAGCTTGCATTCGGGTTAAGTTTCCAGCTATCTGAGTTGCAAAAGCAGTTTTCTAAATACTTGGTTTATTTGTTTATATTTAGTCAATACGGTTCACAACCGCATCTTATGAAGTTCACAGCATTCTTAGCTAAGAGCAAAATTGCATCCATTTTATGGGCTGTGAAATTGTGTTGTGGAGGCTACTGGCAATGAAATGCTGAGGTCAGATCTGCCTTTGCATCCACTCTCCTGTTTCTTGATTTTCAGTCAAAGAAAACTCAGGTACTCTGGCTGCCTGGGAGCTGTGATGCCTTTCAGCCAAATGTCCCATTTAGAAATTATAGAATCATAGTCATAGAATGGCTTAGGTTGTAAGAGACCTCATAGTCCAGGTTGTAAGAGATCTCATAGCCCAGTTCCATTCCCCTGCTGTGGGTAGGGCTGCCCCCCACAACTCAAGCTGCCCAAGGCCCCATCCAACCTGGCCCTGAGTGTCTCCAGAGATGGGGCACCCACCACTTCTCTGGGCAGCTGTGCCAGGGCCTTACTCTATGAGTAAAGATTCCTTCCTAACATCTAACCTAATTCTCCCCCTTTTCAGTTTGAAGACATTCCCCCTCATCCTGTCACTACCAGGTGGTGTAACAAGTAATTCCCTCTCCTGCTTTTGAGTTCTCTTCCAGTACTGAAATGACCTGGAGGCCAAGAATGCGGAGCACGGGTTTGATTAGCTATTCTTGTATTGTGCCTTTTGGATTTGCACCTTCCCAGCTGGAACAGCATTTCGCTCTATAAATTCAGACTCTCCCTTAATTCTACACTATATTTCCTTGCAGGCACATCTCTGAATGACCTGAAAAATATCACTTAAAGATCACTGCACTTCATTAAAGTAACTTTAAAAAGTGACTTTGTGCTCAATGACACTTCAAGTCCATTATGGTGAATTAAAGCTCTGGATTATTATCTGGATTAGAAGGCCTAACATGACTTAATTTAGTAAGCTAAAGCCATTTTAAATTCGTATCTTCCAACGTGTGATCATTTTCTGAACGTTTGCGTATCTAAAAGAGAAATCCAATTGAAAATAACAAAAAGTTGTTTAACCAGAAGTAGATGCCCAATTTTGTTCCATGCCGTGGCCCTTTTTCAACAGTCGTGTTCTTAGGGCAGGAAAAAGGAATATTTTAAGGGAAAAACCAAATATTTATGACCCCCACTCCAGGGGAAACTAACACAAGGAACAACAAGTGCATAGACCTTTGAAGTGGAACAACTACATAGCTGTCGCACTAGAAGCAAGATAAAGGAAAATAAACCATTCTGAAATGGGTGAGAAACAGAAACAATCTGAATGATTATTTTCTGTCTTCACAAGGCCCGGATGCCATACGCGATCACAGAACAAGACGGCCTGAGCACACTCACTACATAGGATCAACATCTCCAGCAATAGAAGGCAGCAGTGATGCTGGCTACTTGTGGCGGCCGGCCTCCTGCTTCTCATCCCCGCTGCTCCGCCGATGTCAGTATGCCACAGAAATCGGGTGGGGAGTGAGAGAGCTCAGCTATTTCACCTGGAGAAATCTCCAGAGCGGAGCGCAGATCAAGGTAAGGAGGACTTCATAGCCTAAAATACCAGAGTGCCAGAAGGCAGAACAAAGCCCAGCTCTGCTTTCTATTTCCATCCTGGATCATCACCAGGGCAGAGATCATTCACAGAACTAAGCAAGGAACGAGGCAGAGCTCAGCTCTTTGGTTATCAGCCTGCAGAAGCCTCAAGTTATATCTTGTAAGGTTTTGCTTGAGGGTGTGCAATCTAACATGCCACAAGCCTCTGGTGTTTGTGGTGATCCGTAAAGCCAATTAAAGCTTCCTGGACAAGGAGCACACCTGCTTGAGAGGACCCATCCCACATGGATGGAGGGGTCAGGGTTAGGTGCCTTTCTCTGCACAGCCCAAAGAGGTGTGCAGCCCTCTAAATAGCTGTTGTGTTGACCATCATCTCCTGCCATTACTCAACAAACAGTTACGGCTGAAATCAATCTGGAGCGAATCAGAACTTGTGAAAACACAAATAAGGGTGTAAATGCATTATACACACACACAGCCTAGATGTATCAGTGTATGCGAGTTCTACCTAAACACGAGTTTTGTGGTATTGCTTTTCAGAATTCACTGACGTGCAGTTGAATTTTCTCCTTTCTTAACAAAATAGGGCACTTGAGCACCTTTGCATTGAGCCGTGTCTATCAGAATCACAGAATGGACAGGGTTGGAAGGGACCTCAAGGATGATGAATTTCCAACCCCCTGCCACAGGCAGGGCCACCAAACACCACGTCATACCAGACCAGGGCCCCATCCAACCTGGCCTTGAACACCTCCAGCGCTGGACGGGGCATCCACAGCCTCTCTGGGCAGCTGTTCCAGCACCTCACCACTCTCATAGTAAAGAACTTCCCCCTGACATCCAACCTCAATCTCCCCGCCCTCAACTTCAAACTATTTCCCCTTGTCCTGCTGTTATCTCCCCTTTCAAAGAGTTGATTCCCCTCCTGTTCGTAGGCTCCCTTTAGGTACTGCAGGCTGCAATGAGGTCACCCCACAGCCTTCTTTTCTCCAGCCTGAACAAGCCCAGCTCCCTCAGTCTGCCTTCGTAGGGGAGGTGCTCCAGCCCCTGATCATCTCTATGGCTCTGCCCTGCACCCTCTCCAACAGCTCCCTGTCTTTCTTGTACTGGGGGCCCCAGACCTGGATGCAGTACTGCAGATGGGGCCTCACAAGAGCGGAGCAGAGGGGGACAATCACCTCAATTTTAGCTAAAATCCAGTGCTTATACTTTCATTTTCCCTTATTTGATAGAAACACTGCTGAGACCCCCTAAGCAAGCACATGCAAGACAACCAGCCTCACCAGAGTAAGGCTTTCAAACAGGTCATACAAAGTGCCTATTCTTAACTCACAATGCTTCTGCCGGAGTTAACACCCCCAAATTTCTGAAAAATGAAAGCACATCACATGCTGAACAATGGCCTTAATGTTGTCACCATAGAGATGACACTTTGCAGCCCTTATTTATATCTCCTTGATTGCACCAAACAAATGCACTCTCTTCACAGACAAATGCTTTTGGTTTCTTGGGGGTGATTTCTCTAGATGGTGTTTAAAATAATGCCTTTGTAAAGACATAAAGGTTATTTTGTAGTACAGGGAACTTTTCAAGATAAATAATACAGTAACATTTCTGACAGAAGAAAGACAACAATCAGCTAGAATAAATGCAAAGGGAATTCTTTAGTTAAAATGATCAACAGGCAGCACAGATACTCTCTTTGTCTTTGCAAAAAAGAATGAAAGAACCCATTATTTGCATGTGGCCAATGAACTTCAAAATACAGGGAAGGAAATATTTTGGCTAAACAAAACCAAAAATATTTTTCTACTGTTGGTAAACCAAAATCACTTATTTTTTACTTGAAAGCAACACAAAAAAATAACATTTTGAAACACTTTTCACAACATTTTTCTTTTGTTCCCATTATATCTGCTGGGTTTTTTGGTACAGTTTTGCTCTGCTCTTTCACCTCTAAGGAGAGCTGCCTTCTGTGCCATGCAGCCTTACTGCACTAAGTTCTCACGCTCCTATTGGGCAATATCTATAGTGAAGCAACTTCCCCTCTCAGCTGCTTATCGTACACATTCACAGTTCAGCTTAGGACCTTACTAGCAGTAAGGAAATCTACACCTCGTGTAGCTGAACGGGAGATGCATCTGCTAGTCACAAACAGGTGTGGAGTTTGGTTTGGTAGGTCTAATTGCAGTCACCTTCCACACCTGCTTCCTGATCAGCCCCAGGTTAGACCCAAAGAGTAACAATCCCCTCAGTTTGTGTTTTGCCTTTTTTTTTTCCCCTTGACTTTTAATCCAGTTAATTCTTTTTGAATTGTCCTCGCTGCCGTGACAGCTATGCCCACAAACTCAAAACCCCTTAAAACACTGATTTGATACTACCAAAAAAAAAAAACAGCAACCCACGTCCTTCTGCAGTGATCAGCCATCTCCTGAGATAGAGAGCTCTGCAGGGTAACCAAAGGCCAAATCCTTCCCAGGAGACAAATCAACCACTCTGTAACCCTCAATGGCCACAGCAGAAGAGAAGAACCGAAAACACCTTGTATTTGGAGCAAGTAGCTGCTGATTCAGCTGGCTAGATCCTTGCCTTCATCACTGTAAAGGTGCCATCGCTGCAACAGCTGGATTAAATATGCTTAATAGCTTCTAATTTCAGAAGCTGATTAAATCATTGCTCTGGCCTTGTGGTTCACCAACAGCCCTTGATGTAGCTCATGCTTTCCCAAAACAGCTATACTGCTGCATAATCAATGAATATTAAGATGTTATACTTATGACATAAACAAGAGAGTTTGACAAAGCAGACTCTGATAACAAAAGAGAATAAATGGTAGGCTTACCCCTATCCTGGGCTCACCCACAAAACACCAGCACAGACTATCTCCAAGAGCTCCTTCCCCACTGGTAGCCAGCTCTTCAATAGGTCTAGGAGGGGTGCAGCCAGGAAGCACAGCTGAATTGCCTTCACCTGTGCTCCTGTGGCTGACTCATGGCTCACCTCAGGTGATCAATCAGAGCTTCAGGCCATGACCCAGCAGTTCCCCAGTCCCCAGGCACTGGGGACTCATGCTTTTGCCCCTCACAGCAATATGAATTCAGCTGGTTTGTGGTACTTGATGCTGTGTGCTGGAGACCACGCACGTACAACTGGTGCAGATGGGGTGGATATGCCTGGAGGAGTTCTGTTCTTCAAGCTGTCCTAGGCAAGGGTAACCTAGGAGAATCAACCTCCCCAAAGCAGGAATCACCTCCCTTCTGTGCAAACAGTACAGAGCAATCAAACCTAATTAAAGTTTTCACAGTAATTTGCTGCTGCTGCTTTTACAAAAGTCTGCACACTGCTTGTGTCTTCCAGAGAAGCCCACAGAACTGCTCTGGTTTATCTCCCCTGGCATCTCTGATAAAGAAAGCTGCCACATGCTCCCCTTATCTCTCTATATGCCTCATCAGGGAAGAAAACACTGCAAAAAAATGTTACTCATAGTGACTGTGGTGATAGATGTCCCCACTGCTGCAGCCTGAAGCCCCTGAGGCAGGAAGGGAGGTCGTGTCCTCCTCTCAGCCACAGACACGCTGAAAAGCTCCAGTCCATCTCACAAATGGGATAAAGCTGTGTGCTGGAGTCTGTGCATCAGTGCCTATACAACTGTCTCTGTGCATCATATAAATCATATAGATCATATAAAGACTGCCTAGAGGGTGGGTGCTGCTGGCAAACGCACTGTGCCATGCTGCTTCTCTCCCCAAGGCAAGTGTAATGCGTGTGGCTATTTCACTCAGCAAGTGAAGTTTAAAAAATAACTTCTTATTGATGAATCATGACATACTTAGCAGCGATATCTGCTGTCCTGTCTGCCTCGTGCCTCATGATTGCAGAGGCGGTTTGTCATGCACTTTTGGTATCGCCCCTTCTCTGTTTCTGAGTTATGGCCGCTCGATGCACTTTAAAACAATCCCTTACCTTTCCAACAACTGTTCTTCTGCTTAAAATACAACAACAGACAACTGCAGGGCGACGTTTCTCTAAGTGACATTTTATTACCTCTCTAGATAACTCTTCCCAAAAATTTAAAGGTGTCAAACCGCAGCCAAGCGCACCATCTCTGCAGTCTATGCACAATATGAAAGCAAGAGATGCTTGTTATTTTCCACCATCTCTGGTTCCTTTGTCACAGCTAAATGAACCTGGTCCTACTGGAGAATAATGCCTTAAGGTTAACACTGTACATCATTTGATTCTGTTTCCCTTTTACAGAGAGGAGAGATCTGGCAGGCTGCTGAAGATCAAGCAACACACCGATACCAAAGTCCATGGTAACCACTTATTAATTATTGAAAATATGTTCTAATTGCTACTGTGTAAGGATGTTCTTCAGGAGCACCTGGAGTAGGCCAGTTATTGGCATACTTGACTATGAAGCTTAACATATCTAACATAAATTCATTGCTGGCACCCTGTGCTGCAGAATCCGTTGAGAATGCAAAGCTAATATTTTGTCATAAACCAATGAAAGTATTCCTGCATTGAAGTACAATGCATTTCAAGCAGCTAGAAGGGGTCTCAGGGGAATATTTAATCCCCTTTGAAGAGAGAGTCCTGTTTCGCAGAAGCCCATTTAGTTTCTGATGAAATTTCTCCAGTTACTTTCATTAATGCATCTTGAAAGAAGTCACAGGTTTATAAAGTGATGATCAGCAACAATCATCTTCAGCTGAGAATTTGTTACAGAAACTGTAAAGTGACAGTAGAAAAAGCCCTTATGGGACTTGCAGAGTTATTCCAGCAAAACCATGCATGTGAAAAGAGATTGCATTGTGCTAGCAATACGTAAGACTTCAAGAGGTTCACCACAGCCAAGAGCTTTGACTACTGAGGCATTCATAATGGAGTCCAAGGTTAAAGATGAAGAGGTGAGGAGGACTGAGGGCATATGGAGAAGGAGAGCTCAAGGGGTTTTGCTTCATCTCCTCTCTTTCCCCCTGGAATTTCTCACTGGAAAACAGAGTATTAACGAGTGCGAGGCAATGAACTTCAGTAGAAAACAGGAAATGCTTAACTTCCCTATAGCTGGCCTGGGAATCAGTGGGGGATGACTGAAGTACGTCTTCCCACAGCGGGTTGCCACACATGCCACCTGCTCCCGGGGCTGCCAGAGTGTGTCCTGTCCCTGCTCAGCAAAGTAATGGGCTCTGCTGGCCTCAGGTGCCAGGGCAGCTCCTCTGAGCTGATCTCAGTACCTCTGGTGGCGGCAGCACTACTGGGAACAGATGAGCCAGCTGGTCTTCGATAGCTATCATCACTCCCTACACTGCAGCATGGCTACGCTTCCCACTGCACCAGGATTACAAAACCTCCAGGAACTGGCTGCTTATTTTGGCTATTACAGCAATGTGTTGTTGAGACTCTCGTAGGCTGGTGACAAGCTGCAGCATCAAAAAGGCTACCACAAAATCTTGGATCCCATCGCTGGGCAACAGCCAGCAGCAGTCAGACAGCGCTGCAGCTTTGCTGTAAGGCACCCATAAAGCACGTGTCTTATTAAGCACTTTGAAAGCAATCCTGGTTTAACTTGATTGTTGATCAAAGAAGCAGCAGTTTGCTGCTGGGGAATGCTCTATTTGCTTTTCATCACAGGAAGGTGAATAAGTAAACAAAGACACCCAAGTTGGAACCAAATAAATTAAATGCATTCAATTAGCTAATGGAATGGATCACAAAGGGGGGCTCTTTTGGAAAATTCAATTAGCTTTTCCTGATGTGCTGGGATTCTCATTAACACTATTATTTTATTCTTTTTTAATACTCTCTGCAACATACAGGGGAATGACTTTCAACAGAGCCTTTCTCCTGCCCTTCCCATACCTTTCAGACCCAATCCTCTTCAATCTTATAATCAGTACTAATATGTGAAAAACATTTTTAAGCTAAATAACTGGCAAAGTTCATGAGTACAAGGAACATATTTCAGATTTTTCTAATGGAACAGGGTGTTCTCAGAGATCAGTTTCAGGAGTTGTTGCATGATTTAGTACCATTGCTTAGAGAAAGGCTTGACTCAGGCATGCTCACCAGTGCCTTTTTATGGAAGAATAACCGAAAAAGAAAGCTGGAAAATGTATTTTTCCTGTGCAGAGCTGCCCTCGTGGTGTTGTTCTGGATGAGCTCCTTCTGCTTTCATTAGGTAAATGAAGGGGAGCGTGGCATTTCTTGAGGTTACATACAGAGTTGCCAGGCGCACCTCCTTCATGGTGCCGCAGTGGTGCTCTGTGTGGGGCTGCAGCCTTCCCATCCCCTTGCACTGTCCTCACCACAACTCCGTAGAACCTCAGGTCAGGAAACGCAGTGCGTGATCAGAAATGGCTATAAAACCCCACCTGGTCCTTCCTGAAGAGACAAAAGAAGAAGGGCCGAAATTTCCTGTGAGTACAGTTGTATTCAGCACATGTGTTTTCAGAAGGAGCTCCTTCCTCTTTGCAAGCGTGCCTGAGCTCACACCAAGCACGTGGTGACAGGTCTCAAATGCCCCCTGGTTGAGCTGAGGAGATACTGGAGGAAGGATGGAGAGGAACTCCTATGCCCCATGGAAAACCCAAAGCCTGCATTAAAGATGGCTCAACAGCAGGAAGCAGATATCCTGGGCAGGGTTGAGAAAGAGCAAGCTGGGGACAAAAAGGCACTTGGGCAGAAAGCATTTCTTTCCCAGGCAAACAAAATAGCCAGGTACAGATGGAGCTCCAATACCTTGATGGTCACGTGCTTAAACTCAAGTGCTTTGCTGGATGAGATCTGGCATGCCTTTATGTAAGGGAATTATTTTTATCTAGCCTAATAGAGGCTTGAATATTTTGAGAACTCATAGATCTCATTGCTATGGAAACTAACTCTGTATCTTGAGGTCAATCTTGCTATCTCCAACTTGCAGAGTCTGCATCAAATCTTATAAAAAAAAAAAGAAAGAAAGAAAGAGAGAAAAAGAACAAGTCTGGCCTGGCTGTGTGTGCAGTTTCAGCCCCACTCCTCGCTGCCCTTGTCTCACTTCTGTAGCCAAAGGCAGCCTTTACAGGGCAGAGAGGTTACAATACTGGCAGTTCAGTGCCAACTGGAAGTTTGGGAACTGATGCTGTTAGCACAGACAATCAATGCAGAAGATCAAGCATGCAAACTGGGCTCACCCAGGGACAAGCATCCCCACGGGGAAGGCTTGCCTCATACAGATGGGCACTCCTTTGTTGAGTGACCAAGCTGGAATGCTCACTGATGCTCCAAAATGCCAAACAACCCTTTCCCAACCCATAGATTTACAGCAGGAGCATTTGCTTGTCTTTTTTTTATGGTGAAAACTGCATGAATGAATGGAATTGCTGCCATGGGACCGATTCAGCTGGTGCCATCTCACAGAAACAGATTGGCTCCATCTTGTGTCGGGACATCTGCCACATTGCAAAATTTGGGCTTTTCCCTCTCCCATCCGACTTTTCTCCTGCACCACTTCAGTTACCCTCTTTTTACAGTTTACCAGACTTAGAATTGTTTCAACTGTAAAGTTCTACTGTAAAAAAAAAAAAAAAAGATTCAGGTTTAGGCAAAAAATAGTAAATTTTATTTTATATGAGGTGTTTTTTCCCCTCTTTCTGCCAAAAAAAAAAAAAAAGCAGTGCTTGTCAATAAAAATGAGATGTTTTCTTCCCAAATGCTAATGCCCACTTGGTACATTGGTTTCTATGTTAATGCACTCGTTACACTTCAGCACTTGATAAACGTGCTTTATCCAGGTGGCCTCAGCATCTGCAGCTAGAGGAGGAGCTCTGTTCACCTTCTTCTTTGCTATTTTTAGGTTTGTGTAATGTTGACTTTCACCCTCTGCAGAACAAGGCTAATTAATCTCCCACCTATGCTCAAAGTTGCTTTTTTGTTGGGTTTTTTTTTTGTCTTTTGATTTTCTGAAAAGTAAATCCATATTCCTACTGAACAGTTGCAGAATGTTTTTCTGCATTTTCCCCTCAGCATGGGTAAAACCAATATCTCACTCTGCTCCCTTTTTATCCAAACCAAGCATTAGATAGGCAAGCACTCCGACTTTTGGAGAATCAGGGTCACGCGATGGTGGAAAATTAGAAGGAAGCATTTTTTAAAGGTTGAAGGGAATTCAGCTTTAACAGGAAAGGAAAATCCCACAAGTTTAATTCTTGTAATGGATGGCAGTGACACACGCTCTGCTTTCTGGGATGAGTATCATTCCATAAAGGAATGCAACACGAACCAGTAGTTAAGCTAGGACAGATGTTGCTGGAAATATCTGAAAGATGTTTACTTTATATTATTAGTGATCAAATATGCAGCGTTCTTGGGTAAGTCATCCTCATGACTTCCCACAAGACATAATATTTTCCTCGTTGGAAAAAGCAAATAACTAAATTGTAGGCAGCTTTTAGTAACCCAGACATTTTGGCCTGGTGACGTAGCTGCTGAGGTATCCACCAGCATCCCCAGCCCAACTGCTGCCCCCGCCTTGCTCCCCTTTTTCCCTTTGCACATCAGAATGATTCCCTCATTTCCAGCCCAGCACTGCTACTTTTCCCAATACCTTCACAAAGAGGAACGGCCACCCTCAACTGTCTGGAGCAAATTGTGCCTTCCTCCTGTGGATGCCCCTCAAAAATAACCTACTTCCACTTGCCACTTGCTCAGTGAGTCACTCTGAGCTTGATTAAGATGCAAAAAATATATATTTTTTCTTCTGATCGGGGTGTGCAATTGGCACATATGGGATTTCCCCTCACACAGATTACAAAGCTTTCAGCTACTACAGTAGAACTGCTGCAGTCTTCCCCGAGGACACACTTGTAGATAGCAAAAAATAAAACAAAAATAAAATAAAATCACTGCAGTTAATATGTTCCTGTAACGTTAAAGCTGATTTAAGACTGCCAACACTCTGAGTTGCATTAGTATAATCCCCTTTAACTAATCAGGTGTGAGCTGTATGTGGAACGTACCCAAGCCCTCTATTATAGGGGGAAAAAAAAAGACTCAGCAGCAAAGAGTGAGGTGTGAACCCTTCCTTCTCTTCACCCCCCCTCTCCTTGCTGAGCCTGCCACCCTTTCATGATGGAGGCTGAGCAGTTTTTCAGCTCCCACAAACCCTGCTCTTTTTTGGTCCCCGACCCATTGCTCACATCACTGGAGCTGCTGGGTTGGTGTGGTAGCTATTTATAACTGACCAAGTGGCATTTTCTGATTCCATCACCCCACTGGTGATGGAAATGGATCAGAAGAAGCAAACTGGCTGGGCTGTGGCTGTCATGCACTGGCC